AAAGGTTGGGTGTTTAAATGCCTTCTTTGCTACTTATTGCAAAAGTGGCTATGTGGTGTGAGAATTTGTTTTAGTCTCTTTCAAATATAAAAAATTAGTCCTTCGTTATTCTGAGACGTATTTGATAAGAGCAAGCAGTGGCTCTGCTCCACATATCAACTATGGTCATACTTATTCTTCTCCTCCTCTTGCCCCATCTAACTTGTGGGGTTCTGAAGGCTAAGTGCCCTTTGCGTTTGGAACCGGATGAAGTACAGCCACTGAATTTCTACAGACCAGGAGACCATCTCATCAACGGGATCACTTCTGCTACAACTGCAAAGTTTCTGTTCTACAAGTTCCACAGGGCTCCTTCTGCTGAACTTTATGAGTAAGTGATCCTGAGTGGCAGAAAGATACAAGCCTCTCCTTTTATTTTGTGAGAGTGATTGTGTTGTGAGATTGTCACGGAAGGAAAGTTAGACGTGAACAACCAAAAAGTAGGCGGGGACTCCATTGGTAGCTCATCTCATAAATGGCAATTCAGCCTAAGTGGGAAGAAACCTGGGAAAAAACAATTCAAAATATTCCATGTGCCCTGTCATATTTAGTCCTAAAGTTAGTATTAAGTATATATTACTAAAGTGGGAACGACTAGCACATACTGTGTTTCCCCGAAATAAGCACTTGGCCTTATTTTTGGAGGCGGCAAGCATGGTCACCTCATGGCTGCTGCTGTGTTGTAATATTTTGGGGAGAGCTTATTTTTGGGGGAGAGCTTATTTTAGTGCATGCACTCAAAAGCCCGATTGGGCTTATTATCTGGGGAGGTCTTATTTTTGGGGAAATAGAGTATGTGCAAGGGGAACCTTTACCTTTAACTGAAACCCATGTAATTCCTTCTTGGGGATGACACCTTTTTCCTAACTTTAAAATGCACAAAAATATCTAAATTGGGAACCCTTTATTTGATGCCTTGAGTTAATTTCAGCTTAAGACAAAGATGACTCCAGACAGAGAGAGACTATCATCGGGGCAAGGGCTATTGTTTCTTTTGAAGAAGTTGGCCAAGACCCATTTCAAGTGCAGCATAAACTTCCATTTTTATCTCTCAGCCTTCATGGGGGTCTACTAATAAATATCAGCCTGGCTGTTAATTTATATGAAGAGTCAAATCAACAGTTGAGGGTCAAAAGTTGATATGAAAGAAATTTATTTTGTAATTTGCCTGAGTTTGTTCCTGCCTCCCTTTGATTCTTTTCAAAAGTGTTTATTTGTCATTTAATTCATTTCTTTTGTTCCCCATATAGGTTGCATCATTATAATAAGTTTAAGCTAAAATGTTTTTATTGAAAAGCAACATAACAGACCATGTAAATACATCCTCACAAAAATATACAATATTCTCAGGACCTTAAAATGTGATATAAATGTTCAGACTTACAGTATGTCTGCGCTGTGAAACCAACCTCCTTACTCTGGAATTTAAAATTGCTAAGTCACTTAAACACACAGAAACAAATAATAATAATAATTCTAGGATGAAGATAGAGCAGAGAGGTTAGCTTACAAAACTTTGAAATAATACTAGTGTTAAACATTATTATAATCAGTGATCAGAATTCAACAGGATAACAGCAGATGAAACAAATAATATAGCTTATAGCAAGAACTTTGATGCAATAGAAGTGTTTCTGAATTTATACATTCTAGCAAAATATGTTCATTAAAAAGAAAGCCAAGCTGTCTAATGCAGTGACTATGATGAAGCTTCAAATCAACTAGGCAGTAGATAAATTTTCAAAAGGATGAAAGAGGCATTTGAGATAAGATGGAAATTCAAATTAAATCTTGACACTATCTCCCTCCAATATTTTTCTGTCTGTCTCACTCTCTCTAACCTTCCCTTTCACACACATAAAACACCAAAATGTGGTTGGCTAGCTACCTCTATACTGCAGAACCAAATATTACAACATCCAGTAACTTCACCTGTAGCATCAGGTCAAGTAATACTGTGTTTCCCCGAAAATAAGACAGGGTCTTATTTTCTTTTGACCCCCAAAATAAGTACTTGGGCTTATTTTTGGGGAGGTCTTATTATTTTTGAGGTGCAGGAGGTGGCGAGTATGGTCACCTCATGGCTACTGCTGTGTTGCAATATTTTTGGGGAGGGCTTATTTTGGGGGGAGGGCTTATTTTAGCGCATGCACTCAAAAGCCCAATTGGGCTTGTTATCCAGGGAGGGTTTATTTTCAGGGAAACAGAGCATGTGTTAATTTCTCAGTGTGACATATGATGTTGCAAATCAGCTATTTCCCCACCCAGTTCCATGTCAAATATTGTGACTGTTTCATGTTTAGTCATTTTCTCCTCCATCTCCCCCCATCCGCCCGCTCTGTTTCAACTAAGAGATAAAGACAACTATGCCTAAATGTTTCCTTTGGGCTGTAAATCGAATAGGCAAGAAGAGAATTGTAACTTTTAGGGAGTCACTCAATTCTGTGCTTTTAGACTAAAAAGAAGACATAGAATTGATTTCTTTATGAAGATTCTCCAGTTCTATCTATATTTTTTTAAAAAAAAAACTGGTATCTGCAATGCATCTAATTTGTAAAGCAACCCAAGCAGACGTTAGAAATTAGATGCTGTGGTTCTGACAAAGTTTTCTTATTAATATTAGAATAAAAGGATCCCTCATTAAATATGCCATTCTGATTGAATGCAGGATGAAAATTTGATCCACCTATATTTGCAGAAAAGGCTCCACAATGTACTGGAAAACCCTGTCCTTCCTTTTTGCCCTTGAGGAAATTAACCAGAATCCCCAAATCTTACCCAACATAACCCTGGGCTACAATATTCATGACAGCTATTCTACTGCGAAGGTGACTTCAGAGGCTTTGCTGGACCTGCTTTCAAAGGGAGAGGCAGATATTCCAAATTATAACTGTGGAAAATGGAGGAACACGCTGGCGGTCCTTGAAGGAACTGATTCAGATATGTCCATTCAGATATCAACCATGCTGAACACCTTCAAGATCCCACAGGTAGATCTGTGCACACACATGATCACTTGGTCATTTGAAAGGGCGTAAGGTTCTTGAAGGCCATGATAGGCAACAAGAGCTGGGGGAGAAGGTTCGAGAATCTGAATTAAATATGAACTTTTTGTTCCAAGGCTCTTGTCCAAATTGGTGGACCCTTGTTGGATACTTGCAAAACAAAAATATTAGGGCTCATAAGGAGAATTGCAGGGCCTGAGCAAGGGGATATCCTGCCTGTCTTTTTTGGAACAGATTTCAAAATGGCCACAGATGAACAAAGAACAATAGAACTTAGATTTGTATACCATTCCACAGTGCTTTACAGCACTCTCTGGGCTGTTTGCAATGTCAACATATTGCCCCCAACAATCTGGATCCTCATTTTACTGACCTTGGAAGGATCAATGGTTGAGTCAATAATAAGGACAAAGACCTTTAGTCGGAATTTTGGCCAATCAATACTTTAGTTTTTATCTGAGAGAAAAATGTTAACATTTCCCATTCTTTTTCAGGTCAGTTACACTTTTGCTTCCCAGGTTTTGAGTGACAGAAAACGATCCCCCTTTTTTTACTCAACCTTCCCCAAAGAAGCACACGAGTACCCGGGGATTGTCAAAATACTCCAACATTTCGGCTGGACCTTGATTGGACTCCTTGCTGCAGATACTGAAAATGGAGAGAAATTCACGAGGCTCTTTACGCCCGTACTAGTCCAGAATGGCATTTGTGTAATTTTCTCCAAAACTATTTCAGTCAATATTAAGGGTGATAACTATCACCCTGGACTTTTCCACAAATGGAGTCAAGTCAATGTCTTTCTTTACTTTGCCGAGGCCATAACCTTCTCACATGGAATATTACATGCCCAAATCATTCTGAGCCAAGTGGAGAAACCTGTTGTGGGAAAAGTTTGGATCACAACAGCTTTCTGGGATCTTACCTTGCCATTGTCGTATAGTGATTTATCTTTCAAGTACACCCATAGTATTCTTTCCTTCTTTAGCCGGACAAATCAAAACATAAAATATGATTATTTCCTCAAACTTAACTCTTTCACCGAGAAATTTGCAGGTTTAGTATTTTCATGTTCCTATTCAAAGCATGCCCTATCTCTGAAAGGCTGGATAAGGTGCAAAGAAAGGAAAAAATGGCGCAATGTCTCTCTTGAGCTACGGGAAAAGATTCTGTCCCTGGATGGCTACCACATTTACCACACCATCTGGACTGTTGCACATGCTTTACATGCGGCCTATTCTCTCCGATCCCAGAGAAGGCCCATGAAGAATGGAAACGGATCAGGAGTTCAAAGACTGCAGCCATGGCAGGTACTTTCCTTTTCCATCACAAAGATTTCTGCTGAAGGGGAAAATCCGTTCTCTCATTCCATAATGTTTGGCTTTTTATGGATATTTTGCTTTCAAGTCTCAGCAGGCTCAAGGTTGACTCAGCCTTCCATCCTTCCGAGGTGGGTAAAATGAGGACTCAGATTATTGGGGGCAATAGGCTGATTCTGAAAAACGCTTAGAGAGGGCTGGAAAAGCACTATGAAGCGGTATATAAGTCTTAAGTGCTATTGCTATTAAACAAATAGGTTTAATTTTATTTTAAGTTTATTTCTGACTTTATGAAGAGGGGAATTATGTGGTATTCAGAGTCACCTTCAACTGGCATGGCTTCTACAGCTTGCAAACAAATTAATACAAGAATTTATATAGTCTATGAGTGAATGTAAATGAAATGGGGAGGCGCAATCATATTATCAGCTGCCACCTTATGCATACTTGTGCTTTGTTGTTATGGGGTGACAGACTGCCGTGAATTGTGAGAGGGAAGATAAGAAGGGGGATGTTTGTGGAATCGAAAGTAGATATTGTACCACCTTGAAATGCTGCCTCAAGGTCATCCAGCTGAAAGAAGGAGGGAGCCACATACCAAACTGTGCTTGGACTGACTGTTATGAAAAGATCTTGCATGGACTTTATTGGTTACAGTAGGATGGACAGTTAGGGGTGGGGAAAAATAGAATTTAGGGATTTTGGCCCACAGTTCTCAGTTCTGGCTATGCAGTGCTGAAATACACTTAATCTCTAATAAAATTATACTTTTCTAAACAAATGAAGCCAAGGATTGTTTCTATTCAGAGGTTTAAGTAATGGCTGGTCTGAGACATATTCTTTAACAAACCCCCCTGGATAAATCTTTTTGTACCTCAGAACATGGAGCCCAATTTTGTGACTTAACACCTAAACCAATTCTTACATTTAATTTGTTTTGTTTGACTTCATGAAGATGGGGAATTATACTATATTCTGCTCAGAGCCACTTTGAACATCTTCCACACCAGGTACATGAATGAATATCAATTACATAATCTCTCAGAAAATGTCAAATAAAATAATGAGACATGAACAGTCCAGAGATGGGTTGCTCCTGGTTCGGCCCAGATTGGGTGAACCAATAGTAGAGGCAACAGGAAGCTCTGCCCACCCGCCCATACACTTCTGCGCATGCATGCCCAAACTGGTAGTAAAAAAATTGGCAGCTACCACCGGAACAGTCGCTTTAGTGAATTTCTTTTTGAAGAACTCTTTCTCTCTCTTTAGCGTGACTCAGAAGTCGCAGCCCAGGGTTCATATAATTCTCCTGTCAGTGCAGTGTATGATTGATCCTCTTGCCAGATATCTAGATGGATCATTGAAAATTTGAAGAGTGTTTGGAATGTTCAATCTATTGCTTTCATGTTACTCTCCACTTTGATTGGTGCCCATTGGAAGATGGATGGCGCTCACTCTAAGGAATGGCCTTCAGTTCTTCAACTCACCTTTGAATTACAGGAAGAACATCTGTGCCAGGGTTGTCAAACTCATGGCCCATGGGTCAGATGTGTCATGCACTGGCCACGTGTATGCCCGTTATAATGAAGGGGGGAGTCACAGTACATCACATGACAATGCCATGATGACACAAATTTAACACCCCTGATCTGAAAGAGCCGAGGTGGCGCAGTGGTTAGAGTGCAGTACTGCAGGCTACTTCAGCTGATTGCAAGTTCGGCAGTTC